TATGCAATATGCAAAAAATAAAAAAACAGATAGTATATGGAGCCCCTGTCTAATCTAGATCAGTGACAAGGGGGAAATGGGAGACAGGATGAGAGATGACATTTTAGCTTTGACAAAATCAAACTGCTGCTGATTGCAGATAAGTAAAAAGATAAACTGATTAATTTGACTTTATTACACTAATTTACAGTAATTTGTACAACAGGTATTTGGATAGATGGTTAGCCAGCCTCATTATATCATTATCTTGGCTATACACACTTTGCAACAAGCATTTGTTTCACTTCCTTCATTTAAGTTTAGGAAAGCCTACTGTGTCCATGACGTGTGTCTATTTGAAAATCCATGCAATCTAGATGCATTTAACCAGCCTAAGAGGCTCTCACAATCATTATGTTTCAGAATGTGCAGAATTATAATCAAGTATATACTGCATAACATAATTTAAAACCATATTATCTGCCTGTTTATATAAGCAGTCTTTCTTAGCAAAGGTCTACTTTATATTTACTAGATTCCCTGAGTAAATAACATGTATTTCTCCAGGAATTAACAGTTGGTAAAAACAGCAAAGTTTGAACAATATCAGAATGGAAATGAATTTCTTCCAAATCTTTTCACTAATAACCATAAAACAAAGAAATCTTACAATCAGACTTTAAATCTATTAGGATTAAAGTGCCCCCTGATAACAGGTGTTTGTACTTCTGCACAAAGGCTTGTAGTTGTCTGGAACATGCTACCTAGCCACATTATTGAAGTCTGACTTATTTCAAGAATCTTCTGGATGTTTTTCTCATTGGTCAATCGCAGCCAAACAGAAGTACTGTATTTCTATGTAGTGTGCCTATCAGTAATCAGCGGCAAAATGATAAAGAAGGCTTTGTAACATACAGTACAGTAGGTCAGAGAAACAGCCTCACTAAAGACAATATGTTATATGGCTCCCTCTTGCTTAATAATCTTAGCTACAAAACTATATAGTACTTTTCTGGACACTCCACTCGAAACTCTCTATAGGTAATGGGGACTCCCCTCCACCACCAATGTTCGGCACCCACCTGGGTGATGCAATGACAGCCAAAGGGCACTGCATATCAGCCATCAGTGGGAAGTAGTCTAATGAGGCCCTCATTAAGGCCTAATTGAGATGGGCATATTGGTTCTTTCCTGTATGTTTATGTGTTGATTTTCAGCAAGCTTTAAATTCAACAGGTCAAATGTCAAGATAGTTTGTGTTAATATGGACATAGGATTTTATTTGAAGTATCTAACTAACAAATACAACGGTAATTTCAATTTTCAGAATTACTGTGAAACAGACCAATACTGATGAACACTTAAAATAATGCAGACTAGTAAAGGAAAGGTATGGAAGGTACTGTGCATGCAGCCAGATGATGAGCCTTAGGACACTAAGCTACAGAAGACAGAGAATACTAGTGCTTCTCTTACCATGTCAATTTCTTGAGACACTCTGCGTTTGCGCAGCTCTTCCATCCTCTCACACACGTCACTGAAACAGGTATTGTAATACTCGGAGTACTGTTGAGCCAGGTCATCAATGTTTCCCAGAGAACCATCCTGTAAGAGACAGAGAAGGAACTGATCAAAAGCTAATAAATATCCTATACTAATTCAATTAACTTTCTGTAATAAAGGGGTTGGAGTTTAAATGGAACAATACATAAGTGAAAGGCTTTTAAAATCAAAATTGGTATACCACAGGTTTGCAAAAGCTGGTAGCATACATATGTAGACACAGGTGCAAAGTAATAAGTATTGTCAGTATTTATCCTGCCTAATTAAACATACGGTAGGCTTAGCATCCTTTAATCCTTTGCTTTGTAAAAACATATCCCTGTTACCCACTAGAATGGATTTGTAGAGGCCTTAAAAAACAAATAACCAGCTATATCACAAACCTCTATCTTCCACATGTAGCCAGAAGCTTTGTGGCATTAATGCATACTGAAAGGCAAATTAATGCCTTGTTTGTTGCATCACCAAATGGCTAAGCAAACTATTTCTCCTAGACCACTATCCATACACTGTTGAGTCTTCCCCAGCTTTGACTTCGGCCATTGATAGGTACCAAGTGACACATTCTTGCATGTGCTGTGCAAACAGAGCATAGCAGAAATCAGCTTCTAAACACGTAGAAAATTGTTTTCATTTTTCTTTCCCAAAAACTTAATACATTGATGCTAGAAAGTTTAGACCCTTTAGAATGTTCTGAATTTCTGCATAAATTTGACCTAAAATTTGATCAAATCAAATTACGGCCAGCTGCCATATCACCCTACAACTCACAACTGGCAACCCATTGAAGCTAAGCAGGTGTGAGCCTGGTCAGTACCTGGATGAGAGACCTCCTGGGAAAAACTAAGGTTGCTGCTGGAAGAGGTGTTAGTGGGGCCAACAGGGGGCGCTCACCCTGCGGTCCATGTGGGTCCTAATGCCCCAGTATAGTGACGGGAACACTATACTGTAAACAGGCGCCGTCCTTCGGATGAGGCGTAAAACCGAGGTCCTGACTCTCTGTGGTCATTAAAAATCCGAGGGCGTTTCTCGAAAAGAGTAGGGGTGTAACTATATAAGTGGAAGCAATTACTATTATTATTAAGTCATGAAAATAGATAAAGAGAACACAATAAAACAAATAATCTTTGTCAGAAAAAGTATGTGAACCTCTAGGATTATCAGTTCAGTTAAGGGGATAATTTGAGTCAGGAGCGTCAATCAAAGGGATGACAATCAGGTGTGAGTTTGGGTGGCCCTGCCCTATTTAAAAAACAAACCTGAGCCTTCACTACCAAAGTCTGGTCTTCACCACACAGATTTGTGAACGCATGCCAGGCCTCGATCAAAGAGATTTCTGAGGACCTCAGAAAAAAGAGTTGTTGATGCTCATCAGGCTGGAAAAGGTTACAAAACAACTTCTAAAAGGCTTTGGCCTTTACCAATCCACTGTCAGGCAGATAGTGTAAAAATTGAGAAAATTCAACATCATTGTTACTCTCCCCAGGAGTGGTCGTCCAACAAAAATCACTCCAAAAGCAAGGCGCAAATACTGTGTGCATGGGAGGATGACAAGGAGGAAGCCACTACTCTCCAAGAAGAACATTGTTGCCCATTTAAAGTTTGCTAAAGACCACTTGGATGAGAGAAAACTACTGGAAGAATGTTCTGCGGACGGATGAGTTGGAAATAGAACTTTTTGTCTTAAATGAGAAATGTTAAATTTGGTGAAAACCAAACACTGCTTTCCAACATAAGAACCTAACCATAACCATGAAAAATGGTGGTGGCAGTATCATGGTTTGGGGCTGTTTTTCTGCCACGGGATCAGGATGGCCTGCCTACAGGAGAATATCAGGGTATCTGTCAGTGAACTGAAGCTCAACAGAAGGTGGGTCTTGCAGCAAGACAACGGCCCTAAACACAAGTCAATCTACCAAAGAATGGTTGAAGCAGAAGAAATTTTGTGTTTTGGAATGGGCGAGTCAAAGTCCAGACCTTAATCCAATAGAAATGTTGTGGCAGTCCCTGAAGTGGGGAGTTCATGCAAGAAAGCCCACCAACATCACTGAGTTGAAGCAGTTCTGTATGGAGGAATGGGCCAAAATTCTTCCAAGCTGATGTGTGGGACTGATCAACAGTTAGCGTAAACGTTTGGTTGAAGTCATTGCTGCTCAAGGGAGGTCACACCAGTTACTGAAAGCATAGGTTCACATACTTTACCAACAAAGACATTTAATGTTGGATAATTTTGATCTGTAATTGAATGAAAAAGTATATCCTTTTGTGTGTTATTTGTTTAATTGGGTTATCTTAATCTATTTTTATGACTTACGTAGATGACCACATTTAAGGTCAAATGTATGCAGAAATTCAGAAAATTCTAAATGGTTCACAAACTGTATAGCACCACTGTACATCTCATTTGTTGCACTTGCATAGTGTTCCTTTTATTGTGCAAAGCTCCATGTTCAGGCAGACATAGGAAGTAATACCCTCAAAAAACTTCAAATGTGATTCTGCAATATACTGTACAACCTGAAATTTATTTCTCCAATTCTTCAGATCAAGAACTTAGGAATAGCCAAAGGAAGTAAATATATTTAAAAATTCTTTACATTCTTGACCATCACATTTCTTCAAGTGTATTCCTTCCAATAACCAATAATTGTGTTGTATTTTTGCATTCCAGCAATAATTCTGACCTACTGTCTATGCTTAATGTGTAGCCAGCAATTCTATAAAGAAAGTAATGTGTAGCCAAGCTCACAGCCTGCCACATGGTTCTGCTTGTCAGGTGTTATACAGACTACAAAACTGTTAAGTGTTGCACATGTTCCAGGAAAAAACAAGTTTAAATGTTTAACAACACTTTGCTAGTTACTCAGAAAAGAAACCTGTTAAACAAATTAATATGCACCAAAATAACCTGAAATGAAAATGTCAAAAGCCTTTTCTAAACTTTGTCACAGCCTTTTAAGTTATTGGCACAATAAATGCTTTTAGCATTCCCTGAAGACAAAACAAAACCAATGAGATGAAAAAAAAAAACTAAAAAGTCAACTTAACAAACTAGATTATTATGCTTTTATACAGTACATTTTCCTTTTCATCTAAAGTCTGTGGAACCCAGAAGTAAAAATATTTACAACTAATCAAACATAACATAGCTGAAAGCTCCAAAAGTGTACAGTTGGTTTTAGGTTCCATCAAATAAATTTTCAGCAATAATATGGAATTTTTATCACATTCCTGACTTCAGTGCATAATTAACAGTTTGTTAAACACTGTAGCTGTGCTTGTTTATGTATCTTGTTAGTAACTGCCTTTTTCTAAGCACCACAGAAAACATAAGTAAATGCAAATATTTTAATAACAGTTTCAGTAACATTACTTTGTTTTTGGTCATGATAAATCCACTATTACATTGCAAATACAAAGAGTCAGTAACTAATTTGAGTATTTTGGATATATAATAGACTAAATAATAATTTAACCCTTCATAAAACTAGATTGCGGATGATGGAGTTAGGGAGAACAAGTGAATCCTGCTCTCCAAAGAGGATCTAGTCACAAGCATTCAACAGATATAGCACTGGAGCTCCCTCGAATTAAAAATGAAAGGACTTAAGAATACCTCTGACCACAAATTCAATTGACATTTACGATCCAACTTTGAAATCAAGCATATATAGAATTTTCACACAAAACTGTTAAAAAAACACTATCATTTTTTCGATCTTTAAAAATCTCAATAGAAAATCTCCGGTCCTGACCAAATGAACTGCTTATAGCCATCATCTTAACTGAACTACACAGGCTAACAGAAATCATGAGAAACCATGATTTTAGCCACCTGCAGAACTGCAGAACACCTGCAAAACAAAAGAGTCCAATCCAATATTCAATTTAAAAAAAAGTATTCATAGCTTGTTTCCAGTATCCCGACCCTTAAGAAATTCTCATCTCCTGGAATGAGAAGTCACTGCCACAATTATCATTCCAGTGGCAAAAAAGAGCTGTTGGAAAAACGTGGCTGACTAGCAAATGTTTCAAGTGACCTAAGCCATCACAGCAAAATACATCAACTAAACAATTCCTATAATTCAGACTGTATGTTTAGAATTACAGACCTATTATTTATATAAATTATTTCAGTACACAAGCTCAAATCTGCCTTACCTGTTATGGGCTACAGGCAAGTGGCATTTTAAAACAATTGTCCAGGGTTACGTAGCCATTTGTTTTCCTGGATCTGTCAGCTGTCTGAAAACACTAATGAGCCTTGACATCAATTATCCTGAAACTAGAATCACACCATTCCCCTTTTCTCAACGATAAGACTCGTTTCCTTCTAATCCTGTCTGTTCATTTGCAGGTTTTGACTTCACACCAGTCTTCACCTCTCTCCAATTCACACCATCTCAGTGCCCGCTCTGCTTCTCTCCTGCTCCTGCCTCCTCAACACCCCTAGCTTTTGTTCTCCCATGCTTTATTAGCCGTCTACTTTCCTGTCTCACACCCGAAGAAGGCTCCACAGCTGAAATGTTGTGTTTCTTTTCTTCTAAGCATCAAATAAACCTTTACTTGTTCCTTTGTAGCGTACAAATGCTGATGCAGCTACCTACTTAATCGAAGAGAGATGCACCGCTCCTCCCAACAACACAACAGGTTCTGACAGGTGTAAGTATTAGAGTACATCCACAGATCCTTCATCTTCCTCTTGTCGTACAAGTAATGTAATGGGAAGTCAAGGTAATAACTGGATATTCCAAGAAATACCAAGCACAAGAATGTGACAAATCTAAACAGGCCTATTTGAAAAGCCTCAGAAATAACGCACTTGTAGAAAGTAGTAATTCTGACAGTTCTTAAAAGTTACATTTTTTTCCAAATATTTTGTTTTGGGAAAAAAAGGAAAGTTATTTTTATAGCTACACTTGAAAAAAAGAATGGAACATTTTAATTATTAAAATTTACAGACTGACAAAGCTAAGGCAAGGGAGGTTATTTTGGCTCCTGTCTCCCCCTCAAGGCAAACAGCCATAAATAAGCAAACTATG